TTACTGAAAACATTTTGAGCAATAGTACTAGAGTGAAATGTATACGTTCCTCTGCAATCTCCATACATTTCGTAACTTGCTACGATCACGGTAAAGAATAAAATATATGGCTACTTTCAACAGTTTGTATCAAAACCGTGTCTCAAAAACACTTTTATATCAGTTTTCCGTTTATTTTTTTTCATCTCGTAGCGATAGAATCAGTCAATTTAAAACTATTATGCGTGCTCTCAAAAAGCATTTTGGTACAATTTTACTGAAAAGACGAGTTTTCATTGCACATGAATATTAATTTATTTATTTCAACCAATCGTGTCATGTAACCCCCCTGGTGAAAGAAGTGATTATTTTCTTTAAAAATGATTAATGTAATCACCGATTTCATTTTTTGCGAGGCGGTGAACTATGTCATAGAGAGGGTTTGTACTGAATATGCAATATGTAGCGTTCTTCTGCAGTATTATACTGTTAGGTGAATTAATAATGAAATGCTCTCCATTTTAATAAACTGGATTCTGTCCACAGATTTATTGAAATTTTCTATTATGTTATGTACTATCTAAATATTCTATTTTCACTATACAATTACTTTTGTCAAATTACGTAAACACATGCGCTGCTAATAGAGGACACACGGTATCAAAATATTATCATTTCTTTTACATTACTATATATGACAATAATTTTTTTTTACGATTTATTTTTCACTGGGGATTAGTATTAAATATCCTCTCTGGCCTTATCTAATGAGTTCTTATCACTCGATCATTACATCAGTACATTGTGCTGCAATACCTTGAAAAGTTTAACCTCAAAGACATGTTAAACCTTTTAAGTGGTATTGTCTTCCAATTTTCATAAAAAAAATTATCATTTCCTCTTTCAAAAAATATATTGTATATTATATTATACCAGTATATTGATGGTGTTAATCCATTGATTTGATTGGTCCAAACACAAAATTTGCATATGCAATCCATGGTATATTGGCTGATAATGCACGGCTAAACTTAGTGGCCCTGGAACATGAATTGACTACAGGTTTAATACGGAAATACATAAAACCGGTATTTTTTTATTTTTAGGGAAATATAGTGGTTGAATTTTAGAAGAATATTGAAAAAAATACTGAATTAAAAACATCTGAAAAGTTATATAACTATAATATTGCTTTTTGTTAATGGTGGGATCCAAGTTGTGAGCGTCGGTCGTTGGGTGATTGTCGTTCGCCACACAAACCTAAACCACCGTCCCTTAACATCGTGAGGTGCCTACACGAACGCCAGGACGCTATGTTCTCAGGGTTGTTACTTTGAGATGGATTGCGAACTTCCAACAAAGAAAACATGATCTTTAAGTACAAGATATAATTGAGGGATTTAATGACATAAAAATGCAAAAAACTATGAGTCCACAGGCAAAAATGTATGCCACCAATAACAACCGGTGTCCGGTAGCGGCAGCTGACAAAATTGCAGTGCACCCGGGTAATT